TTAATTTCATATTGGTGTTGGTTCTCTGGGTACGCTTTCTTCAAACAGCTTAACCAGATGTCAGTATAGTTCCTATTTGATATCAATGTAACTGATTGTTTGTTTATCTTGACCTCCACATTGTTTCCTTGTAACTGGTCAAAGGAACTGAAGAAATCTTTCAAGCTCTCTTCCTTAAATGTTTCAACTGGTATTGTTGCTATGACATCTACAGTATTACTGCCCATTTCAAATTTGACCTGATTTGACCAGTTTCGTAGTAGGCTTTCACTGTGTTTTGTTTTGAGTAATTTGTCTCTCCTTTGTTCTCATTGTTGTTCTTTGTTCAAGTGTCCATTTTGTTTTTTGAGCATTATAGGTCATACAATGCACAAACATGTAACAGTTTTACAGATGATTTGGCTCAAGTTTTACAGATGATTTGGCTCAATTAGACTTGAGAGTTCTCTAAATGGTTTTCTTCTGAGCAGTTAACTTTACTGGTTGTCTTCTATTGTCCTCCAGTTAATTTATTAGTGTAGCCATTGTTTACTCTGCTTGTTCTCCTTCCTGTTATCCTTGGAGTGTACATGACAGCATGTAGTCAGAGTTAGAGTAATCTAAAATCACTGTAGTTGGCTTCAGCAACAAAATTCAGACAAGAAATTGTACTCACTGTTATCACTGTATATTCATGTAGCTGTAGGGTATAATTCTCAAATAGTTTACAGTATATGTCTTATATAACCAGACTCTGATTATGCAGATTTGAAAAGGGTACCCCTGTATTGAAAAGTCTGCTAATCCATTGATGTTTTTTGGTGATCAAATTATTGGACTGGTGGGAGAAACAAAATGGCTGTCCCAATGTACTTTGTTTAGCAAGAAAAATTACTTATTATTTGAAATAAACCTGTCATTCTTGTCAAGTCTTTTCCAGAAATTAACAGTTGTGAACTACCCCATTTAGTGAATCAGTAAAAACTTGATATCTTTATTGACTTGTCCATAGCCTGTTTTACACTGGTATAGCTTTCACAGTTTAATTTGCCATTTAAAAAAAACCCATAAAAAGTCAGGGGTGTCAACAGTGACAGTTAATGTTGCTGATATATACCATGATTTATTGTGTGTGTAACTTTGTTAAAATGGCTCCTAATCACTGTACAGGTATATTAATAGTGTTGGGTACTCCAGTAGCAAATATGGAAAATACCTGTACATGTAGGTTTCTCTCACTAAATGCAGCAAAGTGTGACGGTAACTTTGTATGTGTGTACTGTATTATATTTAACAATTTTTCTTACTGAATTCAATTTATAGTGGTTTGCAGAGTGTTGTAGTATCTGATGAAAAACGCAATCAATTTATAATCAAGTTTTGGAATGGAGTACAGGTAGGTACATTTGGTATTACCAGATTACAGGCAGGCAAGGATTGACAAATGCAGTACAGTAGGAATATATGGTGCAAATTTTAAACGTTGAATAATTGCAAACCTGCTAACAAGCCAAATGCCGCTTTTACAGAATGTTTAATTTCATCCTTTTTGCTCCAGTATAGTAGTAGACCTTCGCCAAGATCTTGTTAAGAGCAAGAGAGCCACAGGGCTTGTTTTCACCTTTCAAATAGTGTTTCACCCTCCATAGGTTACATAGGTCCGGAGAACAGTGAAAATGATGAGAGAAAATGGAATATTATTTGATGGGAAAACAAGTCTGTGGCTCTCTCGCTATACATCTTTTATTTTGAAATTCTGAAGATATTTAGCACAAATATATCAAGATATCACCCAGAGTTATGGGGAAACCAGGATTGTCATTGCATATTACAGCGTATGGCACTGTGGGAGTGTGTACAAATCCTCAGCAGTCGCTGGGTTTTTAGCTGTTGTATATATCTGGTAGTGTCGCTTATGTGTGGGCATCAAATACAAAGACCATGTTACTCAGCACTATAAATGTGGTGAAACCCATTGGTGGTGTTGAACATGACGTAGGTTGCATGTAACGTAAATTTCAATTGACCTCAATGTGATGACGCATACATTGTGGAATACGGAAAAAGAGCCTGAAATGTGCACTAATAACCTATGAGGTTATGACTTAGACATATCTCATTTATATTATTTTTAAGTGAAATTATTAATGGAAAGCATGTAGTATGTCTATTGTGGTTATTTGAAGTCTGTAAACACTTTCTATCATACTAAACTGGTCACCAAATTATTTAGCAACTGCTTTTTCGTTTTACAATGAAATCTAAAGCTACGGCATGCCGAAATAGGTCTCGATTTATACAATGCCACCAGTGGCTGTTCCCGGCTCCATGTGTCTAGGTGTGATGTCATACATGCACACTGTGGTAATATGTATTACATAAATTTCATATCAGTGCATGTGTGTGATATGGTCCCAATTGAAATATTTGCTTGACATGTTACAAAACCTTGTAAATAACTACGTTCAATTACCCACCATAGACTCCGATCAGTCAAAATGACTATTTTGAACTGTAGGCATTAATCAGCGATTCTGCCAGTGACAGAGAGATAGAATCTAGGTCAGGGGAAGCCCCATGACCCCAAGATTCTCTTTCCCTTAAGTCACGAACCACATGACCGAGGCCATATGGCAGCGCCATAGACGGCTATACACTCAATCTTTCTTTTTCTCTGCATCTATGGGGATGAAGTTTTAGCGTCTCTGCTGGATCGCCTGCCTTTTTTCCTGTTCGTGTGTCTAGCTTGGATTGTTGCCGCTGCACGGCATCCGACATTGTAGCTGGTAGGATAAGTTTTCCTTGTCATTTTAGCCTCGTGTCGTTTTTCCCATTTGTGTGTAGTATTTTTCACAACAAAAAAATTAAAACCCGGCGCCACTACGTAACCAGTTGTTGGTTTCGCGGCGGCACCTTTTACAACTGTATTTCGTTTTTCCCTCATGCATGTGTTCTTTTATTTGCAATGTATTTAGCAATGTATGGATGTATGGAAGCGTGTTTGACGCTCACCTCTGCAAGCGGGGGGGACAGGCATGTGTTCGGCGAGTGGCCAGGTCACAACTTAGTGACTCCTTAAGGCCTTTGGGGAACTCACCTCATGGGAGAAGAGAGCACCCCCTTCGCAACTGCCAAACCCATTGCCACATATCCCTGTCGTACACAGATTGCGCCGGTGTAGTCCGGTTTGGAGACAGCGGGTGACCGATCCCTGGACCTTTCCAGGTGGTGACATCCTGTTACGGGATACCGCTGAAATCTACATTTCCCCTGTCAGTGTCCCCCTGTTGGGCACTGCCAGGGGACTCCCTCAAGGCGGAAGCAATCAGACAGGAAGTAACAGTTTGCTGGTAAAAAGCACCATACACAGTGTACATCAGCCGGAACTAAGTCCAGGCTTCTACCCAAATGTGTTCGTAGTACCAAATGTACAAGTGGCGGGCGTCCAGGACCTAGGCAGACTGAATCAGTACGTGCTCCTTGATCGGTTCCACTTGGAGACACCATTCAGGGTTCTTCTCTCCATCCACCGTTTCGCCTGGCTAGCCCCCACTAGACTTAAGCGGGGCCTACCTGCACATACCGATGCACCCAGCGAGTTGTCATCTCCTTCAAATTGCCCAGCTGGGCCAAGTATTGAAATTTTGGGTGCAACCCCCCCCCCCCC